AAAGACACTGACTCCCTCAGGATCTTTACTGATCCAGCAGACTTTAATACCCCTGCTGTTCCACCCAATCGTTTTGACAGTTGCAAGTTACAGCTCTATTCACAATATCAGCAAAGCATGGCCTAAGACTGCATTATAACAGCAGCGCTGGCCCACAATCTAAAGCCATTTCATTAAAACGAGCAAAAAACAGCCTGCAAAAGCATTTTCTCTCCTCCTGAAAGCCTTTGAGAGACAACCTACACAAGCACAACTGTCCACACACTGAGCACTGACTGACTGCGCTGTTTTATCCAGATTCCAGACAGGACAATGACAAAAACAATATACCTACTGTTACTGTATATGATCATGCCTGTCTCCGACATCATTCTTTTCTGCTGCTGAGAACTGGAAATGTCCCACCCAGTACATTTGAACTAATACTTCTCTGGACAGAGGTTTGTCCCCATTCCAGTTCCCACACCCACAACCAACACACACACACACACAAACACACACACGTTTTATCACCTGGACTCTGACTGACACGAGAGCCCACAGTCATGACTTGAGCAGTGGATGGTTTCAGGAACTATATGTAACTCAAATGGAGACATGTGTCAGCTGTAAATACATGACAGCACTGGTGTTATCACACAGTGTCAATCATTCATTCATTAATATGAGAAAATGTTTTTAATATAACAAAAGTAGTCATAGAGCATGCAGAATTGAACTGTGAATTAAATTTGCATTAGAAAATCTTAATTAAAATGCACTAAAATAAATAAATAAAAACTGTAATGAGTGTAATTTTAATTAGAAAAAGAAGGATTGTCAAGACAAACTTCCAATTAAGGCTAGTCACTCGTCTGAAAGTTTACTTTAATAGTCCTTTTTTAAAAAAAAAAATGATTAAATTCATAGAGGATGCATTAAATTGATTAAAAGTGACTGTAAAGACATTTATGATATTTCAAAAGATTTATATATCAAATGAATGCTGTCCTTTTGTATTTTCTGAAAATAATGCATCAGGCTTCTACAAAACTATTATGCAAAAATATCTATATAATATATTAAAATAAATATTTCTTCTCACTGGAGATGCAGAAAAATCAGCTTTGCCATCATTTAATAGATTATATTAAAAATATATTAAAATTTTCTAATAATGTTTCACAATATTAATGTTTTGTTTTGTTTTTATCACATTAACGCTGGCTTTATGAGACTTTTCAAAATCTTACCAAGCCCAAAATATTGAATGGTAGTGTAGGCCTAAAAAAATTGTTTTCTATTTTCTTTATATTTAAGAATTGAACTTCCATTGTATGGGCCAGTGTGGAAGCACACTTTATTTCACTGAATCCATAACCTGTGTTGAAGTTCTTTGAATTGTTTAGTAAATTACGATTCATGTCAATCCAATTCAAATTTCAGTTCAACTTCCAGTGGGTGTGGCCAATTCAAGTACCTCGGAAAAATTCTAACCAATAAAAAACACTTAAGAATAAAAAATACAATGAGATCTTTTTCATTTCTCCTGATAAGGAGCAAATATAACTTTAGCTGCTGCTCAGATTGTTTTCCTGAGAAAAATACCCCAATAATCTCAGAGGAGACCTCAACAATGTCTCAAACTGTGCTCAGACACCAAAGTCTCTAATCAAAAGTCAGACATTTCAATACAACTCAAACATTTCTCATTAAAGCAACAAAAACAAGTAATAAAAATGTTCTTTGGGGTGATGTTTTGAGTCTAAACTTGCTGGTAGCAGATTATGTTTTACTGACAAAAATCCGTTAAGTTGAATCTGATGCTCAAACATTAGATGGTGGAAATAATTTGAAGCTGTCAACAGTCCTTATGTATGAAGTGGTTAAACATTAGGCCATTTGCCCTGATCTAAAGAGGATAAAGTGTCCCCTGATCGAAGAAAGATAAATCAGAGTGCGAACACTCACAACAAAGCAGAACCACACCTAATGTTTGTCAACCTTCACCCTGCTCTCCTTTTTCCATTCACTGCTATTTGTCTGTAGATCTGTTCAAAAACAACACCACCATAACCAGTGGCATTGCAGCTCAGCTGTTTGATCAACATGCTAGAGGAATACAGGCAAAGCATCACAGCATTGTTTGAGTGTTTACACCAGAACATTTACATGTACCCTCATGCCATGTACTGTAAGCATTTTCTGTATTTAGTCTGAACAGATGTGCTGTGCCAGCAAACAATGACATGCTTGCACTTCGATATATCATTTAGAGACTTGGAAACAGCACAAGCACACTGATAGATTGATATTCATTTATGATCTAGCCTGATTGTTATTAATGACAGCCTGTAATTCACAGCTGAATATTTCAGCAGTTCTCGTTCCAATAAATGAAAAATGTATTGGATTTCTGACAGGTTTTACGAAATGGGCACCTTGTCATAAATGCAATGCATTTTTCATTTATAGGAACGAGAACTGCTGAAAAATACAAAAATAAAATGAAATAAAATAAAATAAAATACAAAGGTTAGCAAATCTGACAAAGTCTGATAATACGGTTTAATTTGTTTGCATTGGTTAACTACATTATTTAACTAACAATGAATGAACAATATTTTTATTAATCATAGCCAATGTTAATTTCAACATTTACTAATACATTTTTTAAATCAAAAGTTATTTTTTGTGTGTGAACTAACATTAAACTAGCATTAAAGGATTAGTTCACTTTTAAAATAAAACTTTTGCTGATAATTTACTCACCCCCATGTCATCCAAGATGTCCATGTCTTTCTTTCTTCAGTCGAAAAGAAATTAAGGTTTTTGATGAAAACATTCCAAGAATTTCTCCATATAATGGACTTCAGTGGGAACCAAAGGGTTCAAGGTCCAAAAGACAGTTTCAGTGCAAACTGTTCAAAGGGCTTTTAACGATTCCAGACGTTGAACAAGGGTCTTATCAAGCAAAATGATTGCTCATTTAATATATAAATAACAAGTTTAAGTTTTAAGCTCAAATGCTCGCCTTGCTCTGTACTGTGATGCACGTTTGCAACTCTCCTATTCAAACGTATTCATCAAAAGCAACAAAACTTTTTCCGAATCATTTGGTTCATTCAACGAACGAAACGAACAAATTGACTCAGAAAAAGATTCGTTCATTTCGATGAACGAGTTCGAACAGGAGAGTCACAAACGCGCGTCACAGAACAGAGCACGGCGACCATGAGCTTATAAAACTTAATTTTAATGAGCGATTGTTTCGCTAGATAAGACCCTTATTCATCGTCTGGAATCATTTAAAGCCCTTTGAACAGTTTGCAGTTTGCACTGAAACTGTCTTTTGGACCTTGAACCGTTTGGTTCCCATTGACGTCCATTATATGGAGAAAAATCCTGGAATGTTTTCATCAAAAACCTTAATTTCTTTTCGACTGAAGAAAGAAAGACATGGACATCTTGGATGACATGGGGGTGAGTAAATTATCAGCAAAAGTTTTTTGAAAAGTGAACTACTCCTTTAAGCAAACGTGCTAGTTGACATGTAGTCTTGTAGTGGTAAAGTTACTCATATTAAGTGGAATGTCTCAAGTGGACTTTCTAAATAAGCAAGGTCACAGATCCAAGGGCCCCCAGGGTCCATCCGTAGGCCCCTTAAAGAACAGTATCTGAGCAATACAAATTTCCTTTGTTAATCCCCAAAACTACAATAGCGGTCTTGAGTTGTAGTGAGATGTAAAGAGGCTTTTGTTTGACTTAGTTTATCACTCCGAGCTGCCACAGGATTATTACAGTGCAAATGAAATTCAAATACTGGCTTACAGCTAATCAGATTCCTCATTACGAGCTCTGAAAAGAAGAAACAAACAAACATCATGACCCAAGTGGGCCTCTGGCTTCTTCTTCCAAATTTGACATTTGATGTGTTTTACATGCTGCTCGAGTTCAGCTGGACGTAGTGTGTGACTCGTTATAAGCCTTTGCCATAATCAGAAGTTCAGAGGAGTTCAGCGCTGATCTGGTTGTGGAATTTAGATAGGTTAAGGCACACACTTATAATTCAAGCTGTTTCTTGCATATTCACTTTAAATGGTGCTTGACAAATATTTGTCCAAAATGCACCTGTTCAAATGCACCTGAGCAAAAAAAAAAATATATATATATATTTTCATACAAAAATAATACAGGCACACTGCGTTTTAAGTCTGAACAGGAATGGGAGATATCTTGAAATATCCTTTAATATTAAGATTTTGTTAAAGCTCAGCTGTACTTTCATACTCTTTTTATCTTCAATACACTGAAAAAATATTTTAAAGCAATTTTCACTTAGATATAGATTTCTTTACAGTGTAAAACATGATATATGTAAATTGTTCATATCTTTTAAAGGGATATAGAAAAGAGTTCTCACATTCCTATGATTTTGCTGTCATTCTTGATTACCGAATGAGGATTTAAATGTGTATTTATTTATTTAGAAGATTTAATCATTTGTTTATTATTTAAAAAAAAAAACGTGTATAATGATTGCACCCACAAAGAGCCGTTGGTCTAAATTAAATCATAATTTAATATTTTAAATGTAAAAAAATGACAATATAAATTCCCATGCCTGGAAATCACAATTTCAAAACCTGATATTTCTAGGTTTTTCATCATTGTGAGAACCCCAAATAGGGTAAACCGAAAGAAAAACTGAACCTGAGGTAGATGGAGAGGATAAAAGTTTACACAAGTTCATCCATCATCTGCGATCTCAATGCACCATGCTATAATATTCCAATGCTGTGGACCTCAAATCTGCACCAACGTAGGCTCCTGTACATAACCAAACCGCTTCCCAGTGCAAAATTCAACCTCTGATATCACACGTACAGCACAGCGCTTTCCTTTATCTTATCTGCTCGCAGAAGTTCAACAAATCTGATAAGACACTGTTCCATGTTCAAGCAGATTACAATCTGAATTGCATAACATTAACAAACTGAGAGTTCATGATCACTACTCACCTGGTCCTGTCTCAATCAGGTGTGCTCAGAGTTTTCTGCATGTGGCAAGAGGTGTGGATCCCGCTGAAATGTCACTAGGTTTTCAGTCAGATGTTATCTGTGAAGCTGGATTGGTGTTATTCCTCTTTCCTGTGGAGAATTCCAGAGCGCAGCACTCTCCTCTCCTACCTCCTCCTCGCGCTTTTACTGCAGTAGCCCAAGATCAAGACACAGTCCCACCACAAACCTCTGACACACACACACAGCAGAAAGCAGAGGCGCTTGTAAGAACTGTTCTCTCTTACTCTCTCTCTCTCACTTTTGTGCTTGTCTTTCATAAACACCCTCTCTTTTTACCCCCTTCTTTCTTTTTACTCACTCCTGCTCTCTCTCTCTCTCTCTCTCTCTCTCTCTCTGGCGGAGGTTGGGGTTGCAGCAGCAGGACTCTTGCCAGTAACTCAGCTGTATGCAGTATTGATAGAGTTGCTCAGGGATGCTAACACAGCATGAATTTTCCCAGTGCTCCACTTTCCCTTTCACTCTTCACCCCCTCCTGCAACTCCGTCTCTCCTTTGTGTCACTCCCCCAACCTATCAATCTGCTGCCTTTAGCTGACCGTTATCTAAATCACTCTGCACCCGTGATCTCTTTTATTTTCCTTAGTGTTTATTGAGCTTGTTCTCTCCTAAATGTACCACGTCATGGGGCTAACTTGCCATTTTAGCAGATCAAATCTCAGATTCGCACTTCATTGCTGCATGCTGCCTGTCTGCGTCCCTGTAGAATTGATCATTATCACTATTGTTTATAGTCATACTTAGGTTTAGGAATTTGAATAAATCTCTGTGTAACACTTAACGATGCAGGTGTTTTTCGCACCATGTACTGGTTGTGCTGTGGACAAGAACTAAAAGATTAGGTGTTGAAAAGAAGTGCGCTATAATTTTTTAAGCAAATGGATTTTCACCCTATAGCTACTGCATAGCAATACACTAAAAACCACCCATGCATAGCTTATGCGCTAAAACTACAACACCATACCCTAAATAGGACTGCATTGACACAAATTTCACGATTCGATTGACAAACTATAGTGATTTGATTCAATTTTGATTCAATATCAATTAATTGGGGCCTATCAGATATGGCACTAAAAAATTCTCTCAACGAATTCTGTAAACTATGGAAGCTTGTTCCCGCCACTAAATAAAAATTAAAAAGGTATGCTAATTGCTTACTTTTTTTCTCAGAATTGCGAGTTTCTTTATAGAAAATTCTGACTTTATAACTCACAATTTAAAAAAAGATAATTGTGACTTTATTTCACGACTCTTATTTTGCATTTGCGATATCTCGAATTTCTGACTTCTCACAATTGCAAGTTTATATCTCACACTTCTGACTAAGCTCGTAATTGTGTGTTATTAACTCAGAATTGTGAGATATAAACTTGCAATTGCGAGAAAAAAGTCAAAAAGGTGAGATAAAAAGTCGCAATTACTTTTTTATGTTTTTTATTCTGTGGTAGAAACAAGCTTCAAGGGAATCTGGTTGGTAGGCCTACATCACTATAATAAAGGTTAAATTAACTGATTTGTAGGCTACTTACATTTAAATTACACATAGCCTAAGGAATTTTTTTTTAATAACAACATCATAATACAATTTTAATGACATAATTTTGTTTCTACTGGCTGGCACATTTATTTAAAAAACGCTGCCAGGGAAAGAGTTTAATGCTGTAATAAAAATATGATGGATATATTCAAACATTGCCTACAAATATGTAGGCTATATGTATTTTTATGAAATTCTTTAACAATGTTCTTATGTTATTGAGCATTACTACTACTACTACTAATAATAATATATATATATATATATATATATATATATATATATATATATATATATGATATATGTATATATATACACACACACATATATTTAAAAACAAGAAATGAAAAAAAAAAATATATAGTCAAAAGCAATATAGTCAAAAAGTTATTTTTTCTCATTTTGACTGACGAGTTTTGAACGGTTTTTCTGAGGTAACATTACCTGACATTGTTTACAAGCGGTTTTATTGACATCTTTCCGCGGTTCAAACAAAGATTGGGGCATGATACGGCATGATATGAGGCATGATGCGGATTTCGGTAAGTTTTATTGTATCTTTAAACATGTCTTCGGATGTTTGTTCATGTTTATTTCATGCTGTGTTAGCAATAAAGAGGAAGAGATGATGAGCTTCGCTTGAACTGAAGGCCTAACGTTACGCTATAATAACTTATCCGTCGCGCGTTCAAAACGGTATTTGAATTTCGTAATAAAATTGACAGTATGTGAAAGCTGAGACATTGTTTTATATCAGAAGCAACAAAGCTTATTGCGATTTATTGGATGTCATGCTCGCTACAATATTCAGGCATGATGAATATTCATAATGAAAGCCAAAAAAAAAAAACAGACTGAAAGATCCATTCTTAGGATTTAAGAATCGATATTGGTTCTTCAAAGTATGAATCGTTTAAAATCGAGATTTTTTTTTTTTTTTACTAAAAAACACCCAGAACCTTAATAACTTAACTTACATAGCTTAGAACATCCTAGCAACTGCATAGCAACATGCTAAAAAAAACAGTGACAACTGCATAGCAATGTGCTTAAGGAACATTCAGAACTCTCTAGCTTGCTCAAATACACCCAGAAACCCCCCAAAACTGCATAGAAACATAAACAAAAACACCCTAAATTGCAATGTGCCAATAGCAACCATCTAGCCATGCACTAACTTATGTAAAATTGTAGTTTTGTCTTTTCTCCTTTGTGTGTGTGTATGACTGCCTTTGTAAAAGGGAAAGTAAAAGGCTGTCTGAAGATACTTAGATTTTAGTCTAATTATTATTGAAAGGGTTATGAGGCTTTGAGAAACCCTTTTTGCTGTGGTCATCGCAAAAGGGGAACCTCTCTGATTTCATATTCATTGCTGAATATGCTGTCGGATCAGAGAATAGTTTTCTATGGGAAAGGGCACACATCATGTGAAAGAACCTGAAATACTGATTCACTGACTAAAGTTGTGCTTGCCGCTTAGATTAAAACAACAACTTTGTACAATAAAACAGTGCTCTCACAATGCATTAAGGCAGCAATAAAAAACAGCCAGTGCATTAGGGATTCAGCCTTAAAACCAGAAGTTTATCTACAGCCATCTGACATCTATGCAACATCTGGCAGCAGGTACAAACAAAGTTAGGCCTACCTACCTCCACCAGGAAGCAAAGATCCAGGTAGAACATCTACTTGTGAGGCCCTCTGCTGGTAAGAGGTGGAAAGCTGAGGAAATATCACCTCAAGGATAAAGGGACAAACATAACACATCTTTTCATAAGGTGTTCATTCCCTTCACCAAAGTGTCCCAGACATGATGGCCTGTCTCAGTATAAAGAGCCATACAGGTCACAACATATTATACAGAAGATCAGAGATCTAATGAATTATGAATTAGCCTCATTCTCTGCTATGAATGTTAATGTCTTCTTCCGGTAGGGATGCTTTTCAGCCTAAAACCCTTCTGGAGACAGTGGATGTCCTGGAAGAATCGATAGCTGAGATTTTCAAGGGCACAATAACTTATTGAGCAGGTTATTACCTAGTTGGATAGTTAAAAAAAAAAACAAAAAAAAAACATTAGCATGTTTAATGCATTGACATTTAAAATAGTTATGATGAAAATATATTTGATTATATTAGATATTATTATCAAACTGTTGGGGTTGGAAAGATGTCACATCTTCAGTGTCACATGAATGTTGAAAACAGTTGTGCTGCTTATTTATGTATTACATTCACCGGGTACCACTCATTTCCACTACAAATAGGAAAAAGAGGCTACAATATGCAAGACCTCACCAAAGTTGGACAGTTGAAGACTGGAAAAATGTTGCCTGGTCTGATGAGTCTCGATTTCTGTCGAGACATTCAGATGGTAGACTCAGAATTTGGCGTAAACAGAATGAGAACATGGATCCATCATGCCTTGTTACCACTGTGCAGGCTGGTGGTGGTGGTTTAATGGTGTGGGGGATGTTTTCTTGGCACGCTTTAGGCCCCTTAGTGCCAATTGGGCATCGTTTAAATGCCAGTGTAGTAATGTAATGTAAATGCCATGTAGTAATGTAATCCAGATGTACTACATCTTCATGGGATAGTAAAGTGTGTCCTTTGGATGCACACTTAAAATCTCACTAGAACTAGTAGGTCATCTGGGATCTGTTTTATGAGTAATGAATTCGGACATAATAGTCGGCTCACGTGTTTTTTCACCTACTATATACTGTATATAAGTAGGCAAATTCCGATGCAGAGTATAGCTCTTAAGGAATGTACCCTCATTGACCGTAAGCCAAAGGCACACCTTCTCTTCATTTGAACCCACTCACCTCTGTGTTTCAGAGGAAACTCTTATCTGAACTCTACACTAGCTCTCTTTCGCTGCCAAGATTAGCCGACGGCTAAAAGGTAGCATGCCTGTCCTAGACGAGGAAAAAGAATTCATTGTTTTCCAACTTCTGCTTCAACTGTGGTCTGTCGCTCCCTATCCGTCTTCTTTCATTTCCTTTATACTTCTTTTAATGTTGATCTAACTGATGCCAAAATATCCATTAGGGATGACTACTACCACAATGTTTTCTATCCCAAAACACTACACAACAATGAAGGCCTTTGGAGTGAGGCCTGATCAAATCACACACTTTTATTTTGTAAAACCTCAATGATTCATCAATTTATATAATACCTTGTTTGATTTAACAGTAAGTCATCTAAAAATTAAAATTCTGTCACCAATTAAACTTCCTCATGTCGCTCGAAACCTTATGACTTTCTTTCTTCTGTGGAACACAAAGAAAGATACGATAAGATGAGAAGATGGAACGGCTTGATGGTAAGTAAATGATGACAGAATTTCAATTGAACTATCCCTTTACACTGCAAAAAAATATTTTCAAGATTTGTTATCACAACATTTTTTTCTTTTGTCAAATCAACTTTATTTAGTTGAGATAACTTATTATTTTGAGTTTCTGATGATTTAGGGCCTGTAAACATATCGCGTCTTTTGCGCGCTCAAGTTCGTTATTTCAAATGTAGGCGCGCGGCGGTATGCGCGCTCATAATGGAAGCGGTCCGACGCGATCGTTTTTTCCAAGCGCGGTCGTTTTTTTCCGCGCTGCATGGAGATAAAAACATCTCAACTTTTCAGAATGCAAGCGCACCATAAGCGCACAGTAGCTCATGTGACAAGAACCAACCGCAGCGCAACCGCTGGAAAAAGAAAAATGCAGTGCGCCCTGCGTTTTCTACGCGTTTTTAGGCGCTACATGTGAATCCGGCCTAAATCAATCTCCTTCATTGTATTAACTCACTTTTTCCAGTTCAATCAACTTAAAATTTTATGGCAACCAGGTTACTTACTTTTTTAAGTTAGTTTTTTTTACAGACAATTCAAATATTTGTCATTTTCAATTATTATGAGTTGTAAGACTGATTATGCACAGAATAGTCTCAGATTCCCCCCCCCCCAAAAAAAAAAAAAAAAATTACAAATTTATTCAGACACATAGGCTTTTTTTTCATAGGCAATTTTTCCAAATTGCAAAACTTGCATTACAACTATAACTGGCACTGTTGTCGTTATTGACATACATGTTAGATAATAAAAAAGTGATTAAAAAAATGCACACACAAATCAAAACAAAATTAAATAAATAAAATGGAATAAGATAAAATGATAAACAAAAAAAGAGAAATTTCACATTCTTAATGTTTTATTATAGGATAATGTTCTTAAATCTATCAGTATGTAAAAGTACCAAGAGGCCTCTGATTTCTTTTCCATAGAGTTTTGAAAGTCACTTAAAAGCTTCAGAACATGAATAATTCTGTCCAGATTCTTCCAAGTTATGCATGACATTACTGTACATGAGGATTTGGTGCAATGCAAGTGCAAATACATCAGCTGCCATCCAGTGCAACCCTATCCAAAAGATTTGCAGAGTTTTAGTATTCTTTACAGAATGACAGCTCACTAATCTCTCTCAAGTCTGCAGAGACCAATTGAAATGAAATAAGAACTGAAGCATTACTACATACTTCACATTTTAGGGTCATGATCATCACCATGCAAGTTCTGTAACTCCCCTTAATTGAAACAAATTCAATATTTCATGACAAGTCCGGCCTTTTTTTTATTTAGTTACGCTGAGTTGCATTCATGAAGTTTCCAGCCTTAAGATGAAATCGAAGCTATAGGATTTCCGTCTTTCGGTAATTCTGGGTTCTCGGCCGCTGTTCCTGATTACGAGCGAGAATCTTATTTTGCAGCTTTTCTTCATGATCGCTCATGCAGACAGCAACAAAGAGAAAAGCCCCTCCGACAACTAACAGAAGTCCAGCAAACCAGGCAGAAAACATGGCCTCTCCATACTCCCATCTGGGCATCACATCTGGAAGATTCTCATCCCAGAATTTCACTACCATTATGTACGCCATAAATGAAACGGGTGCGAGGGTCGTGATCCCTGACACCACGATAAACACTCCACCGAGGATAAGCAGAGCCCTCTTCATCCTCTCCCGCCCGGCACCAATCTCAACACCCTGGAGTCCAAAAAAAGCAGCCGCTACACCGAGAAATCCCGTCGCGATGGAAATGCACATGAGAACCCGTGAAACCAAAGTGTCTGGTGGCAGGGCCAAGAAAGACTCGAAGGCTTTGCAGTGCAATCCAACTTCCTCCGTGTAGATACACATGTGCCAGAGACCCTCATACCAGTTCTCCATCTCATTCAAATCGGAGTTCATCGTCTTCCATAGTGGCAGGAAGGTTGTAATAAACGTCGTGATTAAACCTCCGAAGGACACAAAGAGCGAAGCTCTCTGGACAAACTTAGTGGTGAACAGCACCATATTAACACACTCGTCAGTTCTCTTGCTTTGTCTGTCTATCCATCTGATGCGGTCTCCGATTTTCAACTCGTCCTTTCCCGTCTAGTCTGGCTCCTCCTATACTTTAATAAAAACCCACCTGTTCCTGCCGGATAATCCTGCAGCCCTTCACAACGACGGGACTGTTTTTTTCAGACTGATGAATATCGCAACAGAGGAGGACAATAACTGCTTTTTAAAGAGGAAATACGATATGTCTAGTTTTAAGTCTGTGCAAGAAGCCTGAACAGAGCGCAGTAAGACATTGAAATTGAGGGGGAAAGAAAGAATTAGGAGGAACTTTTAAAAAGCCTGTGCACTTGCTAATTTTTGCTGATAATAACTCGAAAGAGTTTTAGGATATACTGTTACTTTGCAAAGTGTCGGGTAGCAGCTGAATGAACAACATTTTGTTTTGAGAACACTATGTACCACAGGACCGAAGCTCCTCTGATTTTCGGAGACCAGTGGCAGGAAATCGGACACCTTGTCCTTCAAGCTGAGCTGAACTCATCCATACTCATCCTCACCGTTTGTTCTTGAACACCCAATCTTTCCCTTTATGTACAATAGGCTTATATGGCAACCCTCTTACCTAACCTTAACCTCTCATAGGTTATTTATGTGAAACAGACCCTAGCATTCAAAAGTTTGAGGTCAGTAAGATTTTTTTTTTTATTATTATTTATTTATTTTTTGGAAGAGATGAATACTCTAATTAAATTAGGCTTTAGTAGACTTCATTTTTATACATGAGTTGGCGTCCAGACTTTAAATTCATTGAAAGTCTTTAGGATGTGCTGGAGGAGACTTTACAGAGTTCTTGACTCTTGCATTGTCATTACAAAATCTTGATGGAAATAACATCACAATATTTATTTCCATCAAGAGGTCCATATATTTACAATACACTGAAGGAGGAACCCCAGCCATATCCAATTGTCATAAGAGAATTGGGAGTGTTTTTTTTACTGGTAATGGCATAGTAGTTCACTTTTAAAAAAACTTTTACTGATAATTTACTCACCCCCATGTCATCCAAGATGTCCATGTCATTCTTTCTTCAGTCGATAAGAAATTAAGGGTTTTTGATGAAAACACTCCAGGATTTTTCTCCATATAATGGAATTCAATGGGAACCAAACGGTTCAAGGTCCAAAAGACAGTTTCAGTGCATTGTTTCGCTTGATAAGAGCCTTATTCATCGTCTGGAATCGTTTAAAGCCCTTTGAACAGTTTGCACTGAAACTGTCTTTTGGACCTTGATTTGGTTCCCATTGAAGTCCATTATATGGAGAAAATCCTTGAATGTTTTCATCAAAAACCTTAATTTCTTTTCGACTGAAGAAAGAATGACATGGATATCTAGAATGACATGGGGGTGAGTAAATTATCAACAGAAGTTTTTTTAAAAAGTGAACTACTCTTTTAAAGTTCTAAAAATCTGTCACACCTCAAGATGAATGTTAATGAATCTTCCATAATCGCTATAAAAAAAACTTATTTAAATTAAACTTAAATACCATTGCAAAATATTCGTAGAAGACTTAATTACACAGGCTTATCTTCCATATCTGATGAAACCAGATCCACACACTGAAGTGAAGATAATATGGCTGGTTAAAGGTCAAGGATTGATCTGTGCTTTGAACATCATAGGCAAGTTTCCCCTTAGAACTGAGCCTCTTTAAACTTGAAAATGCGAAAATAAAACTGGTTAATGTAAAAGGGCCTCTTCAGTCGACTGCAAAATAATGGTAATGATCCGAGATATGTTCAATCACCAACAATAGCAGATAATAATAAAGTCCGGGTGGGCTGAGAGATGCCCAGATGCACTTGCAGCTCCTGGCAGCATGTGTGCTACTCTGAAGAGAATGATCCTCTTTGTACTGCCATCCAAAACTGTTCATTTTTCTTTCATCGCCCCTGTCTGAGGCTCAGCTTTTATGGTGTGCTGTTGAGAATGACAGCAAACAGTATTTCAGTTAATAATGTTTATATTGTATTCACATTTGTTTGAGAACCTCAGTGATTTTGACTTTTTAGTATCACAGTGGTGCAAAGTATTTGAGTAAATGTAATTAATACTGTACTTCAAGTATGAGTATAATTCTGGGTACTTTGAAAGCATCAAAGATATTAGCAACTTTTCTACTTGACTACATTTTTTTAATAGGTATGAACACATTTAAACAATGCACAATTGGCACTAAGAGGCCTATAGTATGCCATGAAAACATCCCCCACACCATTACACCACCACCACCAGCCTGCACAGTGGTAACAAGGCATGATGGATCCACGTTCTCATTCTGTTTACGCCAAATTCTGACTCTACCATCTGAATGTCTCAACAGAAATCGAGACTCATCAGACCAGGCAACATTTTTACAGTCTTCAACTATCCAATTTTGGTGAGCTCTTGCATATTGTAGCCTCTTTTTCCTATTTGTAGTGGAGATGAGTGGTACCCGGTGGGGTCTTCTGCTGTTGTAGCCCATCCGCCTCAAGGTTGTGTGTGTTGTGGCTTCACAAATGCTTCGCTGCATACCTCGGTTGTAACGAGTGGTTATTTCAGTCAAAGTTGCTCTTCTATCAGCTTGAATCAGTCGGCCCATTCTCCTCTGACCTCTAGCATCAACAAGGCATTTCCGCCCACAGGACTGCCGCATACTGAATTTTCACACCATTCTTTGTAAACCCTAAAAATGGTTGTGCGTGAAAAGATTGTGCAATTCTCAGACCGGCCCGTCTGGCACCAACAACCATGCCACGCTCAAAATTGCTTAAATCACCTTAGATTGTCTTGACCAGGACCACACCCCTAAATGCATTGAAACAACTGCCATGTGATTGGTTGATTAAGTAATTGCATTAATGAGAAATTGAACAGGTGTAACTAAAAATCCTATAGGTGAGTGTATGTACGCTTTACTCCAATACATTTGTGAGTAATGCAATGCAATTAACAGTATCTCCGTTGTTTGCTGTATCTCATCTTTAAATTACTTTGGTTTTCAAGAACTCCTTACATCTTTGTCAACTGATCATTTGAATAATTTCGTCATTGGCTGCAATTTTATGATTGGCTGAAAAAGAGCATTGGGCTTCAGGTCAGGTAGTAAAGAAAGTTTATACATGGTATTCGAAAACATCCACTCACAGAACCATTAAATGTTGGTATTAACAAATAGCATGTTAAATGTAATCTTGCACAGAGGAAAAATAAATCGATACTCACAGATTTCTCATAGCCATCCATCATCCACATGAACTCCCTTCAAATCATCTCGTCTACATTCTTTTACCGTATACATAATATATACACAGAAAATAAAACCACAAAACAGTCTGCTGATGTTGCACTCTTTATTAAGGCATAGTTCCCACAGGACCAACAGAACGTCTCGATGATTACAGTAAAGCGTACATGAGTTGACTGTTGATGTGTTGATCCCCTTATATAATTATATCACGCCATAACTGCATAATTATGAGCACTGACAACAGCAGCACAAAATCACTACGAGGCTCAGGAATAAATAAAGTATACTACATTCATAAAGTGCAGTAGATAAAATCCAGGTCATATTTAATGATACAAAAAAAAAAATCAAAAGAAGAAAATAAGAAATCACTTAAAGAATGAACATATGCATAGTAAAAAAAATAATTCTCATGAAGCTGTAACGCAAAATATATACATATGTATTTATACTCAATGGTATTATTTGTACTTGTTGCACTTACAAGAACCTGATGAAATCATTTATTGAATCATAATTTGGTGCTAAAAAAAGATGGCTATAAAATAAGTTCATTTTCTTTATGCAATATATCATTGTTTTTTTTCTTTGGATTTTGAAATTAAAGGTTACCTGGACATTTTTTTTTTTAATTCATACTAATAGGGGTGAAGTTTTCAAATCTTTCATTATATGGGACACATAACTGTATGTCTAATTAAACAACGTTGTGGGCCATCAACTGATCTGATGTTCACTACTAAAAAAAAGGCATTAGCCCAAAATATTTGCATATTAAAACGAATGAAAATGAACAATCACCCAGCATGTCTCTTAAACACAATTTGGTAAATAAAATCCAGAGTAAAGTGAAGCAGTGAACAGAAGGGGTGTGAAGCAGAATTATAAGGGTTGGGAGGAGGTGCTGGATGAAAAGGGAAGGAAATGGAGAAGAAGCGTTAATGAAAAAGCTCATAAAGTATTGGATGGGATGTGAAAGGGGAGGAGCGACTATATATCAGAGCTCATCTCAGTGCACTGTTTGTCTGATATGTGGGATGCCAGCGAGTCAATGATGTCCAACAGCAGTGGTTGGCTGAGCGATCGCAAGTTGGGGAGCTTGGACACCTTCAGGGAAGGAAGGAGAACCAAAGAAATAAATGGTAAACAACACAGGCCATGCAATAGACCGCAAATAAACAACCAAAAATAAACTGATAAGCTAACAGGGTCAAATAACACCAGGATGTCAAATTATGTTCACAAAGGCACTCTATGGCATTTAAAAATACTAGAATTGTTTAGGGTAGCTGAAAGTGGGACAATTTATTACTATTGAAGTAAATATGCGTGATGGATAACACTGATAACATGATAAATAGGTCTAAATGCATATCAAACTTTGCCTGACAATACAAAGTTACAGATCTCTCGGTTTTGAAAAACCGACCAGAATATCGTACACATTAAAGAGCTCGTAGAGGTTATCCATGTCGGACCGAATATTTTGGTGACGTGTTTTTAACCGTGGCGAGGTAGCCAGCACACGCTTAGAGCTGTGGTCAATAGCACACCCACCTTGGTGAACTGATGGACTATAATATGCAGGCAGTGTTTCTTCATGTCCAGAGCTTGAGTCTTATCAGCCGCCTCCAAGATCTGAGGATAAACGAGGGATGATAGCATGTGACTGCAGTTCTTTATCATTAAAGGGTTTGAACGTGGACACATATTAAAATGTGTTTCAAAAGTTTGGGGATTGTAAGATTTAATGTTTTGGAAAGAAGTCTCTTCTGCTCATCAAGGCTGCAGTTACTTGATCAAAAATGCTGTAAAAACTAATATTGTGAAATATACAATTTACATTTATTCATTTAGGCGACTTACAATTGCTATATATCAGAGGTCGCACGCCTTCTGGAGCAATTAGGGGTTAAGTGTCTTGCTCAGGGACACATTGGTCTCACAAGTGGATTCGAACCCGGGTCTCTCACACCAAAGGCACGTGTCTTATCAATTGTGCCACCCCGTAATATTATTGCAATTTAAAATAACTGTTTTATATGTGAATATGTTTTAAAATGTAATTTATTCTTGTGATGCAAAACTGATTTTTTAAGCATCATACCTCTAGTCTTCATTGTCACATGATCCTTCAGAAATCATTATAATATCCAGATTTGCTGCTCAAGAAATATTTCTTATTATCATTAATGTTGAAAACAGTTGTGCTGCTTAATATTTTTGTGGAAACTGTTTTTTTTTTCAGGATTCTTTGATGAACAAAGTTCAGCATTTATTTGAAATATATATATATATATTTTTTGTAAGAAAAAAATCTTTAATGTCACTTTTTAATTAATTTAAATTTATCCTTGCCAAATAAAAGTATTAATTTCTTACTAACCCCAAACTTTTGAATGATAGTGTATGATATGAAATATATTCAGCATTTATTTGAAATGCATATATATATATATATATATTTTGTAACATAAAAATCTTTAATGTCACTTTTTAATTAATTTAAATATATCCTTGCCAAATAAAAGTATTCATTTCTTACTAACCCCAAACTTTTGAATGATAGTGTATGATATTAAATATATATTCAGCATTTATTTGAAATATATATATATAGTATATACTTTTTGTAACATAAAAATCTTTAATGTCACTTTTTAATTAATTTAAATATATCCTTGCCAAATAAAAGTATTCATTTCTTACTAACCCCAAACTTTTGAATGATAGTGTATGATATTAAATATATATTCAGCATTTATTTGAAATATATATATATAGTATATACTTTTTGTAACATAAAAATCTTTAATGTCACTTTTTAATTAATTTAAATATATCCTTGCCAAATAAAAGTATTCATTTCTTACTAACCCCAAACTTTTGAATGATAGTGTATGATATGAAATATATATTCAGCATTTATTTAAGAAAAATATATATATATAGTATATATTTTTTGTAACATTAAAATCTTTAATGTCACTTTTTAATTAATTTAAATATATCCTTGCCAAATAAAAGTATTCATTTCTTACTAACCCCAAACTTTTGAATGATAGTGTATGATACATACCTGTAACACATTCTCTACAGTAACGTTCATCTCCAGATTTTGCTTGCAGTAAGCCTGCAGTCTGTTGTTGGAGAAACCGTAGTAATAAGGTGCTGCAAACAGATATCTGTGCACTAGTTAAGGGCAAATACATCATTTAAAATTTGATACAGATCAGGTTCTTCCGTCATTCTTCATGCCGTTTCAACATCTGCCAGGTGAAAAATCGCAAGTCTGGTTGTTAGCAAAAGTAACAGCACATCTCTCCTCAACAAGCTACTCTATTTGAGGTATCATTCATGTTTCTAACATGCGAGTTAGATGACAAATAAACATTAGATGACATTAATATGACAAATAAACATCTAAAAATAAGAGTCAAAAGCATTACAACAAAGCATTATGCATGGTCTTAGAAATAAAGATTGCACATTACAATATAAAATGTAATGAGGATACAGTGAGTCCTCTGGAGGCATGTTGACGTCCCCATAATAAATGTAGCGCAGCATAGACTCAAAGGCCTGTGTGCTAGGAACCATTTCGCCTATTGAAATGTTCACCTGCCCGTCCTCTGGCATGAAGGAGCGGAACATGGCCTCAAAATAACTGAGAAAGAAACGAGGCAGTGATCAACTAATAAATTAAAAGACAGTTAAAAAAAAAACAAGACATGTTTGGAATGCTTTACTACTAGTTTCTATTTACGATGAAACAATTAAATAATAAAATAATATGCAGTATGAATACTGTGCACTTTATCATGAAATACCCAGACGACTTCCTGCATAATTAAAGAAATGTCATTATTGTTGTTAATTGAAAAAAAAGTAATGTTAATTGATAATAAAATAATGTATATATATATATTTTTTTTTTCTTTTACTAAATATTTCAATTAACTGCAAAGGCAATTTTTTTCAATTTTGTTTAGTTGACAAACTAAAATTACCTAAAATTAACAAAACTGAAATAATAATTAAAAGGAAGTAATATATTAACATAAATCAAATAATAAAACAGACAAAAAAAATTACCAAAATGAAAATGGAATATATATATATATACAGTATATATATATATATATATATATATATATATAAAACAAAATATGAATGATACTAATAATGACACTAAAATAACACTGAACCAGAATAAACTGCTGTCAACTTGACCTTCCACTTCCATGGTGATGAATGGTTTTATCAACCGTGATTTGGTTATTTACCGAACTCATTGAAGACTAAAAAAAAAAAATCATATTCATTTGTTTAAATGCCCATGTGAATGCATTGAAATCATGTCATATGACAACATACTGTAGCTCAATGTAGATGTAAAAAATAAAATTAAAAATGTAATGCATACTGCGCCACACTTTTAATTTTAAAACATATTATCCAGTAAATGTAGTTTAATAACATCTAGTAAGAAATATGGTAGTATTCCATTAAGAACATATCCATACACTCATCTCCTTTAATACATGTTGTTATAGGCCCTAGTGACTACTGTGTCCATTACCTGGAGCGAGCTGCAAGTATAGCCTTATGTGCAGGGCGCGGATGACCATCAAGCAGAAGGATGATGTCACAGAACTCATGGCCCGCCCCCTCCAGACAAGCCTTCATGTCCTGCACCAGAGATGTGCCTGAAACAAAGAAAAGGCATCCTGGTTTTTGGAGCCATATCCCCAATTTTAGATCTGTCCTGAAAGCAAATGCGTGTGTATTTGTATTTGTGTGCTTATTTTCACCTATGTCCACCGGCTGATCCGAATAGACTCTGGGAGGAGGCTGCTGTTTGCGTCTCACTATCTCCACGATCAGCGGAGTGGACAGGTGCTCAAACTCTTTAGTCATGATGACCTGGTTAAAGTGACTCTCCTTGACCACAAAGTTCAGGCAATGTTCCTGGGAGGGCCGGAAATAGATAGATAAATAGATACAGAAGAGAATTTGACATTCTAACGAGGTTAGTTTATTTACATTCAAGTATGATGTCTTCAACTTTACCTTGAGCTGGTCCAGCTGAAGTTTGTTTGCGTTTTCACACACGCTCAGGACATTCTGCAGATCGACCGATGCCTCAATGTACTGAACACAGAGCTGCTCCAGTCTGGAGAGTTTAAAACTCAAAGCAAGTTTATAAACGTCCATGATCAACAGCACATCCTGCACATGACCTTGTGGAGAGAGAGAAGGAAGACTTTTAGGCTGAAGAGCCCCAATAATGCTATTTTAAAGGTGCCTAAATTTGTTTTGAAGGTCTCCTACAATAGGTTTACATCCATCCAAAGTCAAAAAGCACACATTCTCTCATAATATACAATGCAGCATCTCTTTTCCCAGTTTCTGAAATGGTTCGATCAAGGATTTGGTCTCTCTAAACCCCTCCTTTTCCGAGAGCCTACTCTGCTTTGATTGGTCAGATGACCCAATCTGTTGTGATTGGTCTACAGCCATAACTATATCTGAATTTCAGCTCCGGAGGCTTCCTCAGGACTTGATACAGAGACTGATACAAACAGTAACAATGGTGTTGGTTTTACTGTATCAATTGATCCTTCGCTAAGCCACGTTCGCAAAAACCGTTACTGGCCAATCATGTCTTAGCAACCGTAACTATGCGCGGGAGGTCTGGCAAGCTTTCGAACGAGGGAAACATGCTGAAGCATTGTGCGTATGGATTGTGCACATCTGATACCGGTATCCTAAAAGTTTGGACGGGGAGAGGAATTGTTTTCCTTCCAGAAAATCTAAAAGCCAAGGGGAAAATGATTGGCGTGATCTAGCGTCTATGTGCGAGACCCATTCACAACTACTGGTAAATGTCGACACGCTTAACAAAAACACCTATTGCTTGGAAATATTGACGGTTCTTTGGTCATAATGATATAACGTAAAATAAGACTATTAAAGAGACAAGACAAAGGCTCACTGACATAACGTTACTTTAAAATATATTTCAGCATTTTGTTAATCGACGTCCTACTAACGTTACCCCTGAACTTAACCCAATCCGATCGCGGCTGTCCCGGCGGTATTAGTGTTATTCCACAAGATTTATTGATAAGCTGTTTGATTTATAATTAAGATTATTTTCACATACCCTGCTGTGTATGAACATAGCTGTTCCTCAATTTGTGTTTTCCATTTGAACGGTCAGCATATGAGGCGCTGCTGCTTGCGCTGGGACTATAACGTAAGGCTTTAACTTCAATTTTAAGAAATTATTCTCTAATCGGTTGCATATAATGTTGTGAATATATCCCTCGAATGCATACTGTAGTCCCTTTTGTCTTGCTCTCTGAGATATTTCATTTGTTCGCCGAAAATTACTAATTATCTCATTGGGAATGTCTGATACCGGGTGCATCCACACTATAATAGATGGGCCAGCCGCGAAAGCTTGACAGGCGTAGCAACAGTAACTAGGGAGGGCGGGGCTTAGCGAAGGGTCAATTCTAGCCTGAGTCCTCATCCTTTGAAAGTACTTGCAAAGTGAATTTGCTTTGGCAGCACAGAAAAAAAAGCATCTTCTCGACATGTCGACATCACCAATCAAATTCATACAGGCCTTGGCTACAACTACAGTGTTTGAGGGTGGGTCAAAATAGACGTTGTTCACGGGCAGCCAATGAAGACCACAGATTGGCATTATGCAAACTTGCTGGAATAAGACTGGAATAACAGTCAACTTTTTTCTGTAAACAAAAAATATAACGTGGAGGTGTTTGGTCGCTTCTCTGCTTGGATCCTAATGAATGAACTGGGCTAAGCTAAGTGCTAACAAAGTCTCGCCGTAAGACAGAGCGATTTAGTGCACACACTGAGACGAGAGAGGTATGCATCAACTCGTCTTAGTCAAGGGATTAACATAGTTTAATATGAAAAAACGGTGGAGTATCCCTTTAGGCAGATCAATAGAAGGCATATCTTAAGATGGTGTGCTGTAACTTACCTCTACGTGGGTACTGTATCTTGTCTGTGTACAGGAACTGCATCAAAACCTCAAATGGTTGAGCATCTGCCTCTCTGATTGACACTTCCAATAAAGGAAGACCCCTTGAGGACTTCCCAGAGTTGTCCTTCTGACTGCCTGAGCCAGACTCCTCACTCTCCTCATTGCATTCGAGTTTACTCTTCTGCAAAAAGGGGCCAAATATTATTTACATTCTGATTTGCCAAAAGTAAATAGTTTTGGAGAGGAATTCGGATTCATTTAGAGAATGTACCTAAATGGATAAATATATTGAGATTGTTTTGTGTGCAAAAAAATGTTACAAGCTAAATATCTGCAAAAAATAACATTTTTTAAAATTTAAAAACCCTCATTTGACAACAGGTGATAGCACAACATGGCATAAGTAAAATTTTTACTTTTACTTTACTTTTTAAAATCAGTGAATATGAAATGGACCTGTTTCTGTCGATCTCTCGCCTGTAGAATCTTCTTTCGGAGCCACTTACAGCGAGCTGTTACAATGGCAATATGACCCAGGACCTTCTCCTCCCTCTGTAAACAGAAATTAAAAAGATTTTATTTATTACTAAAACTTAAATATTGCCATTGATTCAGAGTGACAGTGTATATCAAATAAAAACATGTAATTATTTTTTACAGGACAAACTAACCTCTCCCAAGATAAACTCTACATCACAGAACTGACGGTTTTCCCAAAGTTTGCCATAGTCCTCATGAAGTGTGCACTTTGGGTAACAAGAAAACTAGGACAAAAACAATGAACAGTTAAATAATAATATGGTATGTTTAACTGCATTAGATGAAGCAGGTGTATTTCTGGAGGTCAAGCACTCACCTGAAATCTGTACATTTCTCCACTGCGTACATTATTGTCCACAGTCCCTCCAAAGATGTACATGGCATCATGGATAACAGCTGCTGCATGGAACAGCCTCCCACTTGGCATCTGAGAGAAACAGTTATAAAATGTATTTACAAGAACAAACACACCACAAGCTAAAAGGTAAACCCTTTTTCCAAACTACAGGGGAACTCAATTAACTCATCAAAATGAATGCTGAAAACATCCACAATTGTGTAATGGATGCTTATGATGTTGCCAAACTGTTCAGATTTATTACAATTAATTAAACTAATTTTAAATGGCTACAAGCAAATACACTTACATTCAAAAGCTTGAGGTTGGTGAGATTTTTTACATTTCTCTGAAAGAAGTCTCTTCTGCTCACCATTACTATGCTCAATGTATTTGATTAAAAATACAATAAAAACTGTAATATTGTGAAATTAGTAAAAAATTTAAAATAACACTTTCTATGATAATATAGTTTCAAAAGTAATTTATTCCTGTGATGTAAAGCTGAATTTTGAGCATCATTACTCTAAAGTGTCACATGATCCTTCAGAAATCATTATAATATGCTGATTTGCTGCTTAAGAAACATTTCAGCTTCTTGAACAGTTGTGCTGCTTATTAGTTTTGATTATTTGATAAATAGAAAATCCAAAAGAACAAAAAAAAAATATTTGTATCAAATTTCTTTACGGACACTTTTCTTTACTGGCGGTCAATTTAGTGAATACTTGCTGAATGAAAGCAAAAAAAAAAATATTTAGAATGGTAATGTATGTGTTAACAAACATTAATTTTCAATGGGAATATTAAAGATTTGTTGTAACTATGTTAGCTGGGGTTTTCCTAAAATTCCCATGTGTTTTGTCCAGGTCATACCTCGCTGTCGCTGCTGGGATGAATGACCTCCCAGGTCTGTGAGTCCACGTCATAGCAGTGCAGTTCGTTGGGGAGAGTGTTGTCTGCCGCTCCTCCAAACACATACAGGTGACGGTCAAACGCCACCATGGTGTGTCCGTAGCGTCTCTGAGGGGGCGGAGGGGAGCCACGCAGTAAGTGCTCAGTTGGGATACGGGTCCATCTGTGGGAAAAAAATACATTTCTAATTGCGTATAAAAATTGTATAGTTCCTTTCCTTAACATTTTACATAATTTAAACAACATTTAACTGAAATGAGATGAATAATGACAATGTTGTCTGCTGTAGGACATCAGTTCATAACTGACTCTTTTATTCTCCTGTTTATTAAGCTTCTTTGAAACAATCTAAAGCCTTGTGAATTGATATAATAAAAACTCATGTACATACAGTATTACACATAAAATGATATTATCAATGTCCTCTCTGCTGTGCTCACATGTGGCCTTTGAATTCAAACTGAAAGAGGTTGTTGGTGATCTTTGCTCCACTCTGACCAGAGAAGACAAACATCTTATCCCGACATACGGCAACTGGGAAGTTACAACAGGAAGGTGGGATTTCACCGCTTTGTTCAATCTAAAAGAAACAAAGAAAGTGGTGCATCAGAAAAGTTATTATGCATTTTATACACTTAAAGGTGAACACAAACTCTTAATATAAATTAGACAAAATTTTAATTAAACATGCAAAGATAGACACCTCTTCCCAGCATGCCTGCTCACGATCCTGAAGACTGATGGTCCACATGTCATTCAGTCTGTTGAAAAAAAAAAAAAAAAATTAATTTATATATTAACAGTTACATTTAATAAAAATCCCATAGTTTTAGGTAGGAATATATTTGTTAATGTTACAACAGATTTAAATTTGCCATTCAACGCTGTGTAAAGAGGGGAATAACATGCTTGCCTGGCATTTCCATCATATCCAGCAAAAATCCAGAGTTTGTCGTTATAGACTGTGGCCCCATGAGCCGATCTGGCAACCAGACTGGAACATAAAAAAACAAAAAATATTGTAATATGTGAAACTGAGTGTCAGACAGAAAACACAACAACGATGAAAGTGACAAAAAATATAATTGTTGAAAATTTATGATTTACCGTCCCTCCACCTTCCATTCTGTCCACTGCCCAGTAGCAAACTTGTACTCAAATAGATCATTCTTGTTTTTCAAGTTAGAGTTTGAATATATGTCTCCAGTGTAGCCACCTAAAAATACAAGAATCAATTACGCACACAGGAAAAATAAGAATGACACATTGAATGCCGAGTTTAAAATGAATGAATGAACTGAATCAACATTTTTCATTCTTTACACAGTTATTGAACTGAACTGATTTGAGCTGAATAATGACACTTGTATTTTAAAAGCTGCTTTACAGCCAATTTAAATTGGTCTAATATTTGATGAAGTTGCATCATTGATTCTGTTATTTTCCTGTTTATAACTGTGAAGCTGCTTTGAAATAATCTGTAATGTATAAAGCAAAACAGTATAAGGGACTTGACATTGAAAACCTACCAAATACAAACATGCTGCTTCCATACACAACTGCAGAATGGTGATATCTTGGCGCTGGTGGGGTGCCAGTAGTAAACGCCCTATTAATTATGTTAATTCATGTTAGAGGCTACAAAAAAACAAACATATTCAAGCACATCACCTTCAAGCCATTAACATATAGCGCTCACCGACACCACGAGCAGTCCTTCACATCAAACCGCAACAGGTCATTAAGCATGTTCTTGCTGAAACAAATGATCACCAGAGTCAGATCTTTCTGTATCTTTTGGAGAGAAAGGAAAGTGGAGGAAATCCAAAATACTCACCCATTGTCTCCTCCAAAAACATAGATGGCATCCCTGTATGCCACAACAGTGTGTTTGCTACGCCTGCAAAAAACAAACCCCAATATGCACTGTTTACAGCTGAATACAAAACCTATTGTTAAAGATGGAGAAAAAGAAGTGTATAATTGTGTACCTTGCACCCACAAACTCATCACATGGTGGCAGCCTCCTCCAGCGGTGGACAGTCTCGAAAGGCCCGAAGTTGAGTGTCAAATACTCAACACTGTCAGAGCAGCTGTGGTCAAAATCAACACTGGGAGCAACTTTAGATTTACAAGACATGGCTCCAGGAAACCATGACATTCAGTTTACATCTAGCAAGGTTTTGTCCAGCCGAGGGACCAAGACAAAAGAAAAAAAAATTAATTTGTTTTTAAGTTGTCGGACGGTTTGAGCTGTTTTGGGGTCATCTGAACCATGTTGCTCATACGATTATTATGATTGTTTACAATCTTACCTTCAATACGACTAACGTTAGCTAGCTACAAGTGTATCTGATCATCTGTCATTTTTTGTAATACTCTAAACGTCTAATAACAATACTAACACCTCAAAACATATTAAATTAAACACGTCGATATGACAGAATGGGATAATATCATGGAATATTTACAGATACGAATTATATCTCTTGCTCCTGGACGAAAAGGGAGGAGACGAGGCTACTTGACATGCGCAGATTCACAGCTTTGAATGGAGGAGAGCACAGTAGACGTCACCAATAAATAAACGCTAAAGGATTTATTCATATTTTTTACGTCTCCGTTTATATTTTTACTACACACACCTAAATGTTTTCATTTCTAGGCATACTAAATTAATAGAAATAAAAGTATAAACGGACCATTAGTTAAAAAACGTACGTTTGAGGTTGCATTTTCATTGGTCGAAATTATGAGGGGCGGGATCAAAACAGGAAGGTGACTGGAGCTCGCGGCAACAACTCAAAACGCGCCAAATTTCTACGTCGGAACAGTATGAACAACGGAAAATATATATTTACAGTAATATTCTGTGTTGTCCGGTGGTAACGCCAATTGTATGAACATTTATAAGGATATATACTTTTGTGTAACGTTGTTCGCAGCACATTAGTGAAATTCATGCGAACAGAAGGTCTAAAATTAGGTCCATCGCGCTGAAAGTTGCTCCAATTGTGTGGAGTGACGCTTTGAAGTAACTTCTGCTGTATTTGCTGACTGATTTGAGTCTTGCAGACTCTTGTCAGCTAACGTTATGGTTTTACAAAACAGTGGGCGATATAAATCAGACCGAGGCGGGGATCAGGACAACCAGCAGTAAGTGCAATCATGTATAATGTTGACACGACAGATATTTCAATAGTTATTTACCATTTAATAACTTACCAGTTATAAAGTATCTGTGGTACCGTTTGGTAAAGCAGACAGTGTTTGGGTAGTTGACAAATATCCTTTTTCTTTAACATAAATATTTAGTTTAAAATCTTTATAAATGTGTATATTGTAGCTAGAAAAATAGACACATTTTAACAGCTTTTTTGCATTTCACTGAAAGTGTCCCGGTAGTATTACATTATATATATCATATTTTAGACACTTTTATAGTTTTATTTATATCTTAAATCAGTTTTATTTGTATATCAGTATTATATTACAGTATATTATTTGTATATTCAATTTTTTAACTTGTAGTAATTGTGTTGTGTATTTGTCATTTTTATTACGTTTTTTATGTTTCTAAATATTAGAAATGTATTTATTTTCAATTCAGTTTGTAACTTTTTTTCTAAATTGTTCATCTAAACTATTTTTTTCTACTTCATTATATTTAGCAAAAAAGTTTTTAATAATTTTACTTAGCGATAAAATACACCATGTACAACAAATTATTTTTATTACAAATATTCCATTAAATGTCTCATTAATATGAAGTCATAAAAACTGAATCTTAGATGAATATCCATCTTAAATTATGAAAATAATTTTCCTCAAATATAGCCTGACACTGCTATCAGTGGTTGAAATGTCAAGACGACAACTTTGGTAGAATTGACAATTGTCTAGATTGAAACCAAATCCTCTGACTTTTCAGTTTGCCAGCATAGACTATTAATTTCAGAACACAATCTCTACTCCAAATCTTTCTCTCATTGCATGCTCTGACAGTTTCTGCTGTTGTCAAAACGTCTGTTGAATGTGGATGACATGTTTTGTTGCAGTATATTTCATGATGTTGGTTTTTAGGGATGATGCATCTGCTATGTCCGCTGTCAAGCGGCTAGAGCGCAGTCAGTTCACTGATGGGATGGACGAGCGCTTTGGCTTCGAGCGGATGAAGGAGCCTGGTGAGAAAACGGGATGGCTGATCAACATGCACCCGGTAAGAATGTCAGACATTCAAACACTGTAATTAGATGATGTGCTTTCTGGCTTTTTACTGATAATTTTGCCAATATTGTGAACGTTATGCTATGTATTTCTTCTCAGACTGAGATTCTGGATGATGACAAGCGGATGATCAGTTGTGTGGACTATTACTTCATACAGGAAGATGGAAACAGATTCAAAGTGCGATATTACAGCAGTTTGCAAATATATATATTTCTTTCTTTCAAATGTAAAATTAAAGGTTTCTCCACTTTTTAAAACATGTATTTTATTCTTTATGAAATAATCATAGAGCAGGAAAAGAATGTTATTTTGGCAGAGGTCCTGATGTTGTAACTTTCCCTTTTTGTGTGTGTGTCCCCATAGGTTGCTCTTCCTTTTAAGCCGTATTTCTACATAGCCACTAAAAAGGTGACTTTAAGCTTTTTTTACTGAATGAAAACATTTTGGTTTGGATTGATTGAATGATACTGTATGTCTTTTTGTATCTGTTAAAGAACTGTGAAAGAGAGGTTATCTCCTTCCTGTCAAAGAAGTTCCAAGGGAAAGTGGCGAAGCTTGAAGTTGTCCCAAAGGAAGATTTGGATCTGGTAAGTTAAGTTCTTCTTTCATGCATTAATTCTACTCATTTGTTTTCATCATTTATGTTCCTGATAGGTGAGGTAAGCCAAGACAATTTATTTGTAAAGCACAGTTAAAACAACAGTTAGTTGACCAATGTCCTGTACATTATATAAACTATACAAAAAGCAAGCTTACACACCACTTAACTCCATTACAAAGACTGTCAGGGTAAGGGTGGGCGATATGAGCAAAATCTTATATCAAGATATGAGTCATTTTATTTCACAATAATGATATATATATCACTATATAGTTCTTTTTACTTTAAATAAAGTCATTATGACATTTGTAATCATAAAAAGTTTTTATGATTTTTGATAACATTGAAATTTCATAATTCTTTTTCAATATCATTTAAAAAAACTAATACTAGCCTAAAAAAACTCCTGAGCTTACACAGACAAGTAAACTGTAATAAAGAAAAAGCAACAACTAAACTACAAATGAAATGGACCTACCAGAAAAATTACAATTACAAAAGTGATTCAAGCAAGAGCTTTGTTGTTTGATTAGCATTAATATTGACAGCAGGTAAATTTGGATTCTGTCACTTTAAGACCGACTACACAGATCCAAAATAGCCTACTCTTGGGATTTCTCTCTCAACTGTTAACGTTCACTAAAGACACGAATGACTGTTTACTTGCAAATACATGGTCACTTAACCATATTTAACCATTCAATCCCAATTAGGTGGCAAAAAGCACTCTGTTCACTTCAGTACTCGCTCGGTTTGAGCAGTGGCTTTGGGTTATTTTTGTACATCATTTAATTGTTATGTGTCTTTAAAAGCCTAATCACCTGGTGGGCCTGAAGAGGAGCTACATCAAACTCTATTTTAACACTGTGGATGACCTTGTTAAAGTGAAAAGGGAGATCTCGCCTGCTGTCCGCAAGAACAGAGAGAGAGAGAAGTCCAATGACGCCTACACTAGCATGTTATCCAGGTATTCACATTTGGCACTGTTAAGAAAGCACACTGTTAATTTAGATGCCCTGCTTATTTTGAAACCTTTGTTGCTGCAATGTAAAAGGAAAAAAAAATCCTGTAAGAGATTTAAAAAATTTGTAAGACTTTCCACGATGCACTTGACATTGTTCTCTATTGTTATCCAGACGTATATGTAAATGCTTCTTTTGCATGTTCCAGTGCTTTGGTTGGTGGGAGTGTAGTGACGGAGGATAAGGATGGCTCATCGAAGAAGATGACTGAGCAGCTTGACAACATTTTGGACATGCGAGAATATGACGTGCCCTATCACGTCCGTGTTTCTATTGACCTGAAGATTCATGTGGTAAAGGAACATCCCATACAGGCTACATGACTGATCATACAGTATGTTTCGTTTTTAAACGAGACCTTCTTGACTGACAGCTCTGTTTTCTGACAGGCTCACTGGTATAATGTGCGGTACAGAGGAAGTGCCTATCCTCCTGAGATTGTGCGCAGGGATGATCTTGTGGAAAGACCTGTAAGAATCTTAAATGCTTTTGCATGTCTTAAAGAGTTCAAATACTTGAGATCTTTGCTTAGTCTCTGGCAAGGATTGTTAATAATGTCATTCCATTTTATTTACTGAGGATCATTCTTAATTATTATGAATCACTTATTCATTGCATTATTTTCCTGTCCTTTTAAGGACCCTGTAGTGTTGGCATTTGATATTGAGACCACTAAACTCCCTCTGAAGTTTCCTGATGCTGAAACAGACCAGATCATGATGATATCATACATGATAGATGGACAGGTAATGCATTTTGCGCTCTTACGATAGATCAGTCATTCATAACATACAGTACATATTGTCCGTTTTAGTCATGCTGTATTTAAATTTGATCTGCCTCTTTGATATGTTTAATATTTGATATAGTTTATAATGTATGTTCTATTTTCCCAGGGCTTCCTGATCACAAACAGAGAAATTGTCTCTGAGGACATTGAAGACTTTGAGTTCACACCTAAACCTGAATACGAGGGCCCTTTCACTGTATTTAATGAACCTGATGAGGTAAGGCTGAACAGTATATAACGTGCAATGTTTAATTTGTTTTCTAGACTGGTACTGAGTGCTGCAATTGAACAATTGATAAAACAACAATTGATAAAACAAGGCGTGAGAAAATTAATCCGTCAAACTACTTTTCTGTAGTTTGGTAAATATTTGCCTTCCCTGTCTCTGACCTTTTCTGTCTGCTTGCAGGCCTCTCTCATTCAGAGATGGTTTGAACACGTCCATGAGACCAAGCCGAACATTTTTGTCACTTACAACGGAGATTTCTTTGACTGGTAGGACATGATTTTAGACTATTAAAAGTGTTAGTAAAAGTGCTATTATACGGGGCGGCAGTGGCTCAGTGGTTCATGTGGATTGGCTACAAACCGAAAGGTTGGTGGTTCAATCCTCGGTTCAACCTGACCAAGTGTCGAGGTGTCCATGAGCAAGACACCTAACCCCAACTGCTCCCGACGAGCTGGATGGCGCCTTGTATGGCTGACACCGCCGTCGGTGTATGAATGTGTGTATGAATGGGTGAATGTGAGGCAATATGTAAAGCAATTTGGTGGCCGTTAGGTCTATGATGGCCACCATCATAGCTATATAAATGCAGTCCATATTACTGTTTGACTATCTGATATTATATCACATAAAAAGACTGTTTCATGTTTTTATTTTGCATT